ACTCAAGGATGTTTGTTCGGGTTAAGTGTTGTACTTCGTCAGCTCGTATGTGATTTCTTTGTCAAATTAAAGCATTTTTCCATGAAGTATAATGTTTTCTCCACTTTGTAAATAATTAATCAGAAATTGATAAGAATCCGGATTGGGCCCAAGCATATAATTAAATTAGCATGTACCTTTTTCTTCTAGTTTTAGAGACAAACGCATTAGAAATGTAGCCACTTTAGGATATCCTTTCTAAAATAGAGACGAGCCTCGCCAAATAAAAAATGCAAAATTGCGGGGCCCTCAATAACTAGCCATAATAAATACTTAAAATTCGGGACAGGCCGGTTAGTGAATTTCATGGCCTTCCCCAAGAATTACAACGCGTTAGACTCCTTAGGCGCGGCTTAATTAAATTACAGTCTTAAACTCGGGTGCACATTGATGTGACCTTAATCCAAATCTCAACGGAGTCAAAATGTGTCGACGACCACGGGTGCATTGATTGTGACGTGGTTCGAGATGCATTTCCACGATGTTGCAATTCTATAAAAATAAAAAAAAAATGATAATAATAAAAGCGGTTTAAACTTAATAAAAGCACGTAAGTCATAACATGTATTTAAATCAGATATTTAGCCATTATAATAATTTAAGCGACCGTGCTAGAACCACGGGATTCGGGGGTGCTTAACACCTTACCTCGGGTCAACAGAATTTCTTACTTAGAATTTCTGGTTTGCAGACTTCATTTGGAAAGGTCGAAAATTTCCTCGATTTGGGATTCAAGATAAACCGGTGACTTGGGACACCAAAAGCCAAACCTTTTCCCAAGTGGCGACTCTGAATTAAATAAATAATCCCATTTCGAATATTGTCGCTTAAATTGGAAAAACTCCCTCGCGTATTTAACCCTTCGGGGCCGGGCGCGCAAAAAGGAGGTGTGACAATACTATATTGATTAATGGAGTCCAAACAAAACCTTTTGAAGCAAGAAGAGGATTGAGGCAAGGAGATCCACTGTCCCCCTATCTGTTTGTGTTTGCCATGTAATACCAGACAAGGAGGCTGAAAATGCTCAACAACAATCCAGATTTTAATTACCATCCCAAGTGTGCAAAGATGCAAATCTTGCAACTTGGATTTGCTTATGACTTTTTACTATTTTGCAGGGAGATTTGAAGTCAGTCCAACTACTATATAATGGCTTTCAAGAGTTCTCACAAGCATCTGGACTGAAGATTAACAAAAACAAAAGTTCCTTATTTTGTGGAGGGATTACACAAGAAGACCAAGAGAAGATACTAAGCTTCCTGGGAATACAAAAGGGAGAATTACCTGTGAGATATTTAGGAGTCCCATTGAGCACCAGGAGAATCAGTATAGCACAATGCCATCCTTTGGTAGAGAAGATAGTAGGCAGAATAACATCCTGAACAATAGGGTTCTTATCCTATGCTTGAAGAGTCCAACTTATTAAAAGTGTCCTATTCTCAGTTCAGACTTACTGGGCACAAATTTTTGTGCTGCTAAAGAAAATCACAAAGTTAATAGAGGCAATCTGCAGAAGCTTCTTATGGGCAGGTGAGAGCAATGTAACTAAAAAGGCCCTACTAGTATGGGAAAGGATATGTATGCCTAAGACAGCAGGAGACTTTAACATAATTGATATAACACTATGGAATAAAGTAGATGTATGTAAACATTATTGGGACCTGTGTAGAGAAAAGAACAAATTGTGGATCCAATGGATTCACAGTTACTACATCAAAGACAAGGAAGCATGGGGTATCCAGGTGAAGCAAGCATCATGGATGGTTGGGAAGATACTCAAAGCTCAGGAGACACTCGTGAAAGCTGGCTTCAATCATGAGAAAATAAGGAGAACTAAGAAATGCAACATCAAAACTATATATCACAGGCTGCGTGGAACATTTGACAAGGTGAGATGGAAGAAGATAGCATGCCAGAATTTAGGTTGCCCACGCTGTACCTTCATGCTAACATTGACAGCTCATGGTAAACTATACACGAGGGATAGGCTGCAGAAGTGGGGCATGCATGTAGAAGAAGAATGTGTACTTTGTAGAACAGAGAAAGAGAGCATCCAACACTTGTTCTTTGAGTGTGAATACTCTAAAGCACTATGAAGCAGGATACTAGCTTGGCAAGGAATAAATAGGGGAACTTTGGATGGGAGCAAGAACTTGCATGGGCAGTAAATATAACCAGGAAGAAGACTCCAAAGGCTGAACTTTTCAAAATGGCCTTAGCTGCAACAGTGTACTACGTATGGCAGGAACGAAATGTGAGAATTTTTCAGGCAAAATCAAGGGGATGGGAAGCAGTGTGTATGAAGATTATCCAAGAGTTACATAGCAGAAGTCACAAATATATAGAAGAAAGGACGAGTAGTCTTAATTGGTACCCTTATAGTAGATAAATGTATATGCTTTAGATAAAGGAGGGATGGGGGCATAGAAGAGTAGGATGGAATGTATGAGTTCTGAATTCTCTTGTTTATATTTTCCCTGGTAAATAGAAAGCTTTAATTACCAAAAAAAAGGAGGAACTTATTTTAATTTGAGATTGTGACATAATCGATCAACTGATTTACAAAATAATTATTAGAATATTTAATGAATTATTAATGCAGTATTCCAACTGTCCCAATTTATATAAAAGTGTTCGGCGTACAAATAAAGCACCTACTAATTCCTGTTCGGGCATAAATTTTTTCAAGTTTTTTGAATAAATATAAACCTTTTTATAAACTTATAATAATTAACTAATACAGTTTATGATTAAAAATATATTTGAAAAGGAGTTTGAGAAAAAATATAGCTAAAAAAACTATTTAACCTTTTAAATTATAACATATTCACATAAAATTAGAGGAAAGAGAATAACAAATAAGTAATTCTAAGCTTCAACTTGCTTGAAGAAAAATATTATAACGGGGTAAACCAATGAGGTCATTCTTGAGGTTTTGTGTCCAATGAATTGTTTGTTTTAAATTCAATGAATTGTTTAAATTTTAAATTTTCAAAGAAGTTAGATTTGCTACTCGTCTAAAATAAGGATTGACAAGTGATGATGGTGTCTGTGAGAGACCGAGCTACTGAGAATGGAGCATGTGTATTACTTTTAATTTTTTAATTATACACTTATTATATAGTATTATATACTATGGAATTTAGTGCCAAATTATGTGCATCAACATATTTCAAAATCTTGAATCCATACTGTATGATTGCAACATAAGGTCCCACCACTAGAATTAGGTCTCGTGAACTGGATAATGATAATTAATTAATTAATTAATTAATTAATATGACTGGTTAAAGAAGAGCTTATGAGAAGACATTATATATTCTGCTGTAGACCACCATATAAAGTTAAGGATTGAGTTTCACTTTTATGCTTCATATAGTTTATTTTTTGTCTTTCTTAATAAGAAAGGGAGATATTAAAAAAATAAAAAAGTTAAAGCCAGCCAAAAGACGTGCGTTTTGAGAGAAATGAATGCTCTTTTGTTGAATGAATCAATCGATTACCCACATTTCTTCTTAGAAGAAGATTCCATTTCTTAAATGTGAACCACAAATGATAGTGCTTTTTTCGGTTTCTTGCCACGTGTCTCCTATTTGTTTTGGGCTCCACACTACCGCTATTACTCCCTCTATTCAATTTATGTAGCACTATTTGACTTGATACATAATTTAAAAGAAATAGATATTTTTAAAACTTATTATCTATATCAAGTACCATCCTAAGTTTTTTTCCTTTGAACCTCGCCCTTTCTTCACACGCTTGCCGGCAACCCGCTTTTTATTCCCCGAGCACTCAATAGAAGAAGAGGAATCAAGTCATGTAGTCAGAAATCCAATCCTTGCTCCCGTAGCCTGTCCTTACGATTGATCTCCAGGTTCTGATTCTGCCTCATCTGATAATAGAAGTACCTTTGTAAGGACTCCATCTCAACATAAATTCACATTTGATGGTTATTTTACTTGAACATTTTCATTAACGCCTTCTGCTTGTAGACGGATAGAAAGCAGAAAGAGAGCCCGAGGTACTGACCCGCAATGAGGCAGAACTGTCTATCTCGAGCGGGATGATAATAACTAGTCCTTCCTTGAATTAAGACTTTAATGAAGGAAAAGTCTGGGTGAAATCTCAGTGAAAGAGCCTCGGTTCACTCTTCGCTATAAGCTGAGTTTCCAAGTTGGGGAGTACAAGTCCCGAGTCTTTCCTTTCCTCTATGATAGGAGGGACAAGTCTTAAAATTTCGTGTGACTATAAATCTATCTTAAATTATTTTTATTTATAAAAAGGTGATACTCCCTCCAGTCCAAAATAAGTGATTTTTTGTCTTTTTTCTTGTGGTCCAAAATAAATAATTTTTTCAAATTTCAAAAATGAATTAATTATTTTTTTTCTACATTGCCCTTGAAGTAATTAATGTTGGAGTATGTGTTAGAAGTGTTTATGTGAAGAGATAGTAAATGTTAATATGGTCAATTTCATTGCTAATTAATGTTAACCGGAGCGAGCATTATTTTTAGGACGAACTAAAAAGAAAAGAGTGTTAGATAAACTGGAATAAATGGAATATGATTTTTTATTTTTCGAGTTCAAGCATGAAATCTCCTATTAAGAATGGAGATTTCATTCTTAATAGAGCGTGAATGCTATTAAGCATGAAATTCTATCCACCCCACCTTAACCCTTGGTGGTGTGAATGCTAGTGCTTTAGTACATAACCTAATAAAAACGCTCGATTCAGGATTTTTCTTTGAGTTAATGTAAAAAAAAAATTACATAATCAATATATATAGTTTAATTAATTATTCTAATTATATGTTAGTTATTATTTTATCAGGTAATAAATATATTACAAGAATTTACCAATAACTATCATATAAGAGACCTAAGTTGTTTGCATATACAATACTTAAACTCTCTTGCTACCACAGACATTTTATTTTATATTTGTGAATAAGTGGAGGGAAAGAAAAAAGAGAAGAAGAAAAGGGAGGTGCCGAAAGAATACAAAAGATTATGAGAAAAGAGGACAAGAAGGAAATGGGGTCAAAAGAAATGAGAAGGGAGATATATAATGAAAAGAAAGAAGCAATAACTAGAGGACAAGTTTGCATATGCTAATCTTAATTTGAGCTCCAAAATGTCCTTATCCAAAAGCCAACTACTCAACTTCCAATTTGTCTTCCTAATTTTATCATAGTTTTATACAAAAAAAATTTATTTCATCCTTCTTTTCTTTTTCACTTTTTCGTCACATTTGTGACCTTAATTTTCCATAGAAACAGAAGAACTCAAAAGAAATTCATCGAAGAGGACAAAAGAATTCATTTTCTGCTTTTCTCGCGATTAGATCTTTTCAAGACTAAAAATTAGTAGAAAATAATTACTTTATTATAAAAATACACCTTATTTTATCCGCATCAAATATTTATACCAAATTAATATATACATAATATATGTTTACATATAGACTTTTTACTTTTAGTCATGGTTAATTAATATATATTTGCACCTCAATAACCACGTAACAATAATAAATTAGCATAACTTAGTACAATTATCCGATAATAAGTTCTCATAATAAATGAGCAATGGTTCATGTTATGTGCTACATTATTGTAATATTATAAAAATCTTACCTTATATTTATGTAACTATTTTTATTATTTGTACAACTGACCTCCAGTCACATACTTGCACAACTCTTTATGTTGCATTAAAGCTCTCACCCTAAAAGAATAAAAAAAAAAAATCTGATATCTGATTTTCACAAGAATAACATAAATAATTTTTTTCAGAAAAACAATTTTTTTCAATACATAATAGTGCAGCCAGTTGCACGAAACATCTCGCATTCATGTAGGTTTCGGAAAAAGACCGCACTCCAAGAAAGCGTGATATAGGCAGCCTAACCCGATGCATCAGTGACTAATTCAACGGCCCGAACTCCTGACCTATAGGACACATGAAGACAACTTTACCGTTAAATCAAATAAAAAACTCTACTTTTAGGGTAGGAGTGATGTATTTCATAAGGAAACACTAGGGGTGTTCATGGTTCGGTTTGGATCGGTTTTTCCCTAAAAAGAAATCAAACCAAGTAAGTCGGTTTTTCAAACATTAGAACCAATTAAGTCATTTTTTTCTTGATTCGGTTTATGTCGGTTTTTCGATTTTTTCGGTTATTTGCCGGTTTTTTCTTAAATATAAGACATACACTACCAAACACACATTTCGGCGATCACATTTTCAACGTAACACTATCAAATCAATTGCCCTTTGAGAAATCTATTATTTACCAAGATATATTGATGATAATTGAATCAAATAGTGATGAATAATTTAAGGACTCAATTAAAAATATATTATTTTTAACATGAAATAGATTCTTACACTTAACAAAAGAAAACTACCAATTAAACTAGAATGTAAAGGTAAAGAACTGTACTAAAAGTGCAAACGATTGATATTTACTATAAAAAATTTAAAACTTTGTATAAAAGTATACATATACAGGTGTAATAATAAATTTAAAATAGATAATTCTATATTCGTTTGGTTCGTTTTTTTTAATTAAAACCAAAACCAAGCCAAATTTGATCGATTTTTAAATTTCAAAACCAAAATCAAATCAAATAAAAAAGTATTGATGTTTTTGGTCGATTTGATTTGATTTTGGATTTGGTTAGGATTTTCGGATTTTTACTATCACAGCCCCTAGAAAACACCCTGAGGCCTAAGGCTGTAATAAAACTACAAATTTGGTGAAAAACTTAGCCAGTATCTCACCTACAACTCAGTAGCAAAGTAGGTAACTGTTCTCATTACAACACAGCTTGCAAACTACTAAAATCCCTATTAAAGAAACCGCGTTTTAGTTTTCCTCTTTTTATTTTCCTTTGTTTTTTTCCTCTCATTAAACCATATAAATACTAACCATCTACTCACCTCTCACAAATTAAAACCATATAATTCTCCTTCCTTTCTTCTCTACAAAAATCTTCAAAAAGAAATACTCTCATGGCTTCTTCTTCTAGAGTTTTTGTTCTTCTTCTTCTCATAATCTTCAATTTTCTCTACATCTCAGCACAAAAAACCATTAAACATAAGCCTTTTTCTATGTCATTTCCTCTTATTTCAACATCTTTATCACATAACTCTTCTTCTAAAGCTCTTTTTCTTTCTTCTTTTATGGCTTCTAATAATAGAAGACAAACTCAAAATACAAAAACTATGTCTAGAATTCCATCTTTGAACTATAAATCAACTTTTAAATATTCAATGGCTTTAATTGTTACACTACCAATAGGAACACCACCACAAAATCAACAAATGGTTTTGGACACTGGTAGCCAACTTTCTTGGATTCAATGTCATAAGAAAATTCCCAAAAGACCCCCACCAACGACGTCGTTTGATCCTTCTTTGTCTTCTACTTTCTCTGTTCTTCCTTGTACTCATCCTTTATGTAAGCCAAGAATTCCCGATTTTACCCTTCCAACTACTTGTGACCAAAATCGTTTGTGCCACTATTCCTACTTTTATGCTGATGGTACTTTAGCTGAGGGTAATCTTGTCCGTGAAAAAATTACATTTTCACGTTCCCAAAGTACCCCTCCTTTGATTCTTGGTTGTGCGACCGAGTCCGAAGATGCTGAGGGTATTTTGGGAATGAATCTTGGACGGTTTTCTTTTGCCTCCCAAGCTAAGGTACAAAAATTCTCATATTGCGTGCCAATTAGACAAGGTAGCCATGCAGTTAAACCTAGTGGAACATTTTACCTAGGCCAAAACCCTAATTCCCATACATTTCAATACATAAATCTTTTGACTTTTCCTCAAAGTCAACGCATGCCAAATTTGGATCCACTAGCTTTTACTGTTGGCATGGTGGGGATAAAAATTGGCGGCAAAAAATTAAACATCTCCGGGAGGGTTTTCCGGCCAAACGCTGGTGGTTCCGGCCAGACGATCATTGATTCCGGCACGGAGTACACTTTCTTAGTGGAAGAAGCGTACAATAAGGTCAGAGAAGAAATTGTTAGGTTAGTAGGTCCAAGATTGAAAAAAGGTTACGTTTATGGTGGTGCACTCGACATGTGCTTCGATAACCGTCCGATCGAAATCGGACGGTTGATAGGTGATATGACATTGCAATTTGAAAACGGGGTTGATATTTTGATCAATAAGGAAAGGATGTTGGATGAAGTAGAAGGTGGGATCCATTGTGTTGGAATCGGACGGTCAGAATCACTTGGAATAGCAAGCAATATTATTGGTAATTTTCACCAGCAAAATTTATGGGTAGAATTTGATATGAGAAATCGACGAGTAGGTTTTGGCAAAGGAGAGTGTAGTAGGCAAGTGTAATGAGTATTAGTCATATACAAGAGGATGATTTAGGGCTTGTGCTGTGTAAAATATTATAGTAATCTAGTAGATTATGAGAAAATATGATGTATTATATGTATATGCAATTGATTAAATTTGCCATTCTTTTATAGTTATATTATTCTTCTAATTTTTTGAAGCTGATAGCACTAAGTTCTTTTGTGTTCGTTGATGGAAACTACAACAGAATTAACAACAACAAATGTTTGATACTTAAATCCATATACTGATTTTAATAAGTGGCATACATTATAAATGGACCAAGTTGCCTGTTAAACTATTTAGTAGGCGTTTGGACATAAAAATTGTAATTTTTGAAAAAAAATATATTTGGCGTTAAGTTGAAAAATAATATGTGAAATTTGAAATTATGTTAGGACATACAATTTACTTACAAAAATATTAATTTTGTAAGTGGGAAAAAAACTTTTCCCGAAAAACTTGAAATTTGAAAAATGATGAAAAATCTCTAAGAATTTAGAAATTTTAATGGACAAATTAAATACGCTTCTAAAAAAAATCTGAAAAAAGGAAATAACTCGTGGATAAACGGGTCCTTAGACACTCGACTATCATAATGTAGGCAAAACCGCAGAAGGTGTTGTCTAAGAAGTTATTTTGGCGCTGGTGACATAGAGTCGGAGTCACTAACTAAAGTTTAGGGATTGTACCGTGACTTCACTTTAATATCATTATACATTTAAATATTTATAGATAATTAATGAATTTTTAATATATATACATATAATATTTGGACGAAAGTTGCAAAGTTCACATGAATCCATAACCGACCTAGTAGATCCATCCTACCATGACATAGTAATGTTTTGGGGTTGTTATTGTATTTATAAAGTTGTACATAAGTGTAAGAGACAAGAATATCCTTATTTAGAAGGGTAATATACAACAATTCCTAGACTAACATGGTAAAAGATACATGTATATTATCATATTTCAGTATTTTAAAATTTTTGAAATGTCTAAACTTCTTATTAGTGTTTTCTTATAAAAATATTTATGGCTAGATATAAATCTCAATGGACAAGAAAACTTATTAACATGCTTCTTGGTCCATATTGATTGCCGTGGTCGGCCATGAAATTATTTAATTGTGGGACAGACTTCAACTAGTGGACTGTCTTACTAACTACTGACTCTCTTTTTTCTCTAGTTGCTAGTGGGGACATTAAATATTTAATATTTATACGAGATTAGAATGAATAAAGCTCTTGTAGATANCTCCTGGAACCAGGATTTATGTTGTCTTATCTCGATTTTAATGATAAGTCTTATATTCTTGTTTAATTTATTAATCATTTTGGGATCAAATCAATTTACTTGTCTATAAACCATCACCAAGGATTATATATATATATATATATATATATATATATAAGAATTATCTTAATAATAATTATTAGGGACTAAAAAACATAGATTATTGCCCTAAGTGTATGTTGCTGTCGAAATTAATTATGATATCTTGATAGAATTTGAATCGTTTTTGCCAAAATTGATTTTAACTTTGGTTAATATAGAACTCCCTTAATTAAATCTTGAAAACAGATAGTTTGGTTGCTTGGACGTTGTAAATATAAATTTGAGAGTTCGATTATTATTGCGGAGAGAAGTCTTGGAGCAATGGTAAAGTTGTGTCCATTGATCTTGTTGGGATATATACTATTAACCATGAGTTTGGTTTAGATATAGTATTTATTATGAAATAATTGTTTATTCAGTTTTAATAAAGTTTTAAATAGATCATATAATAGTCTGTGTCCTTTGCTTATATAGTAGATGATTTAGTGTATAGAGTTTAGCTTATACACGGAAGATTAAATCATCGGTTCTTATAAGTATAAAGTTTGAGTTCACAATCTAATGATGGAATTGGACAAACCATCAGGAATGATTGTAGCACAAGATTAAATATAATTAATCTTGATTATGGGAATGGTTTAATTCCAACTTCTTGTGCTAGTACATTTTGTATGTATTGAACGGACCAGGTAGAGATAAGTATTTTATACTGACTTAATAAAATAAACTCTCTAGCCATTAAATGTACTTATACTCTTAATCTTGATATAATTATTATTAGCTGTGTATATTATTATTGTTTTGATTTATTAAAAGGCGAGATTCTTTCGTGGGTCAATATGCCTGGTAAATTGGATAATAATAATATACATTGGCGAAGTAATAGTTAGTTGATGGAATCCATGTCTCAGTTTAGAGATTGATGATATACATTTATGAAAGCTTATAATTTT